GGAAATAAAAAAAATATTTTTTGAAAAATTAGATTACATTTTTTAAGTTATTTTTCAAAATAATTTAATATTTTTATTTTAATGAAACACATGCAAGATTGCAAGTTCTTTTCATACAATGCTCTCGCTACTGCCATCAAGAATGAGTTCAATGGTGCTTCAAACGTCAATGTTATCTTTAACAAGAAGTTTGTGAAAGAATCTAAGTTCGGTCAGTATGTCAGACCATTAGCTATTGTCATTGACCGCAAACGTTATACTTCACAAGAGTTAGCAGTAGTTTTGAAACAAAAGGGTTTCTTCGTGAATGTCAAAGATACTCATTATACTGTTATAAAGAACTCCAACATTGACTTCTTCAGTATTGCTATGAATCTTTCCGAACAGAAAGAATATAAGAAGGGTGAAACAAATGTGAAATATTATCCTTCATCTCTGAAGACAATAACGAACAAAGATGTTATACAAATTCTTACCAAAGGTTGAAGAAGCTTCTATTGACATTGACGAAGGAAGTGAAATGGTTGAAGAAATTGACCCTGAAGCTATTTAACCAAAAATATATTTTTGGTGAAGAGGTGAGATTTCACCTGTTTTTTCACCTCATTCTCTCTTCGTTAATGTTGTCGTGACTTCTTCGTTAATGTTGTCGTGACTTCATTCTTCCTCTTTGAAGTTATCGAAATATTCTGTTATTTTTTCCTTTCAATGGTAAGTCTTCTTTGAATGTAAGTATTGTGCAACCTTTGATGTCATAGTGTGTTTGAGGAAGAGTATTTTTGACAATTTCTTTATTTGCTCATTCGGTGTCATTGAAATCGGTAAGTTTTCACGATAGAACCAGTTTCTGTCAGATTTGTAAATTTAGCAAGGTCGTAAAAGCTTTTGTTGTTTCTTCTGACTAAATGCAACATAACCATATCTCTGTCTTCTTCATTCTCCACTCTTCGTAAATCATATACTTATAACTCTTTTCCTTTCCTTTTGGTACTGAACGTGTATTCTTTTCTGTATGCTTTTGTCTTTGGATTCAATGACTTCATCTTTTGCTTGAAGTTTCTTTTCCATCTGTTCGCGTTCTTGTCTGTGAATTTCGTCAAGAAGTTTACAAACATACCAAGCATAACGAGGTGAAGCCCACATTGCTACAACATTTACGAGAAGTCTATGAACATAATATCCTCTCAAACCGTTTGGCAATTTTTCACGATTTTCATAGAGTTTTGGCGACTGGGATTTTTTACCTACTCGCTGTTCTTCACTGTTTTCAGAAAAAAGTATGTCTCGCTGTGCTTCATTTAATAGTTCAATAGTGCTTTGGTTCCTAAACCAGTCTTTAGGAAGTTTAGTATCTGGAGCATAACATGCTGTCAAAATACTTTGCATTTGGTACATGTCATCTTTGACTGAACGAATGAGACGTAACTGTTTGTTATACTGTATGTATTCGTATTCTTCATTTATGACTTCATGAACGATAGCAGTTGTTGTGTTCTCTAATGTTGACATATCTGTCTTTACATACAGGATAAAAAAATAAATAAAATAAAAACTAACTTTATTTTTTTTGAGATAAACACTATTTCTTCACAACATTAAATTTTATCCTGTATGAAATGACTTTAAAAAGATTATTGACTGACTTCGAATACTATCTCATTGACGCACTGACAGACCCTCAAAACTGTGTTGAAAGTTCTTTAAGCTTTAAGATTGAAGGTACGACGCATTTTGTCTTCACTTACGTATTGAAAGAATATGACCGTTATCATAACGAAGTGAATCAAACACTAATAAAATTTGTAGATAAAAAATTGGTTAACAATGAATATTTTAAACGTGAAGACCCAAACACTGCTGGAGATGATGAAGAATACAGACAAGTTATTGAAAAAAATAACGCAAGATTAGATGCAATAGAAAAGAAGTTTAATGAATGTCTTACAAACACGTATGAATATCTTATGCAGTGGGAAGCCAGATGGAAATAAATTTACGTCAAATATGCAATTTATAAAATCTTATGTCGACAGGCTACGTAGCACAGTGGTCTAAGGTGGTGTTATGGAGGGGTCAGGGTCTTGGTTCGAACCGCGACAGCGCCGTATTTTCTTATTTTCTTTATTTGTCTTGTTTGTCGTGAATAAAAAGTGTCATAAAAGTGCTCTATCTTCCACGGGAATAAATAAAAAATTTACTTTATTTCTTCTTTATTTCTTTGTTCCCGTGGAAGAAGGGTTTTTGCCGTTTTTTTCTCAGCCGAAATCAACGATTTTTTCATTTTTGGAATCCTTAGCAAATGAGGAATCTTTTCTCTCGTGGAAGCTTTGAACAAAAATAATGTTTAGGTGAAGAGGTGAGATGTCACCTGTTTTTTCACCTAATTTTTCACCCTCAGCCGCTAAGCGGCGAGACCCAAAGGGTCTTGACTTTGTCATAACTTCTTCGTAAATGCTTTGTCATAACTTCTTCGTAAATGCTTTGTCATAACTTCTTCGTAAATGCTTTGTCATAACTTCTTCGTAAATGCCTTGTCAAGATTTCATCGTAAATGCTTTGTCATGACTTCTTCGTAAATGAGTGTAAATGACCAAAAATATAATTTAGGTGAAGAGGTGAGATTTCACCTCTTTTTTCACCTGTTTTTTTCACAAGCGTTTTACATGAATTGTACGATGTATATTTGAAATTCTAAACAGTTTTGTAGCTTCTATTTCTTCTGTCAGTACATCGAATGTTTTAACAATGCCGAAAGTCTCTTTATATTTCTTCTTGACGTCAGATAGAAGGAAATCTTCTACTGTTGGATAGTTTTTGTTCAGAAATGCTAACATGTCCATTTTATCTTCTGCTGGCTTTTCTGCTTCTTTCTTTAAGTCTGCATAGTCGTTTCGCATTCTTTCTATCTCTTTGACGGAGTAGTTATATTTCCTAATTGCTGCCTTACATTTTGAACATTGCGGGTTCATTTTTGCGTTATACATTGAAATAAAACCAGCTAAAACAACTAAGGCGTCAATTGCTCTCTTCATCTCAAACATAGCGGGTCTTAGTTGTTCGTTCCATACTTTGCCTCTTCTATCTTTATCTCTTATTTCCCAAACACATTTTGCAACTAACGAAACAAAGTTGTCGTAGGTCTTAAATTCTTCAGATTTATATATGTCAGAAACATTCTTATATACCATATCGCAATCTTTGTCCATAACTTTATGGTTGCAATGAAAACCAAGGAATTCATAATTTACTTTACGTATGAACTTCTTTATTTCTACTGAGTCAGTTGCTTTGACTTCAATTTCGTCGAATTCAGGAATAGTTAGTTTTTGTTGTTGGATTTCAGGCAATTTGGGTAAATGGTCAATAATGTCCTGCATTTCATAAAGATATTCTTCATTTTCTTCATCTTTCGCACTACAGTCTAAATTACTTGTTAAAAGTTCTTGCTTTATCTTCTGGATTTTTGTTTCGAAAGTATATGAAGAAGGAATGAAGTTTTTCATCTCTACTAACATTGACGTAGGATTCATGACTAACGAGTTTGGTGCTGTAGTTGTGGACAGAGTCCCGCCGTTCGCGGCTTGTATTGTTGTTGTGCCGATTGTTGAAATCATATCTTTTATACAAAATAAAAAAATAAAAAAAATAAAACTAACTTTATTTTTTATTTCATGACAAATTCACGAAAATTCAAGAGGTGAAAAAACAGGTGAGAAAACAGGTGAGATCTCACCTCTTCACCTAAACATTATTTTTGGTCTTTTGTGAAAATTCACGAAAATTCAAGAGGTGAAAAAACAGGTGAGAAAACAGGTGAGATCTCACCTCTTCACCTAAACATTATTTTTGTCTGATTTACATCCAACGAAAAAGTTTAGAAGAATTTTCTTATTCTTTCTGGCATGTTTTTATCTTTCCAGTACTCCCGCTCTAATGGTCCCAGATGAGTTGGTTTAGATTCTCTCAAGTTCTTAGATGGTATAACATCTTCAACGCCTCCTTCATATCTTACTTTATAAGTGTCATCGTTTATGTTGTAGTCAAGTATTTCAATAACCACTCCTCGCTTTGCTTCGTCAATGGTTTCAGCAAGTTTGCCATTACTACTTTCGACTAATTTATGACGAGGGTAAAATGCTATGGAGTCGTCAGCAGCTTTTATAAGATATCCATTACCTTGCGTAGAGTCTACGATATAATAGTTTCTACTTAACCTTAAACGTTTCTTTGTCAATGGTTTGTCGTCAAGAACTACACGAACTTTTGTACCAGGAATGAGGGTAAATTGTGTTGAATTTCTGATATTTTGTGTTTGGCTTCGTTTCTTTTGTATATACTTTTCTTCTTGTTGTTGTGTCATTGAATTTGGTGTATGTCCTGTTGTAGAATGTGTTGAGGAATTGTAAACTTCGAGAAAATGTTTCATTGTTTCTTCGGTAAAGTCTCGCTCTTGGTTTAAATCTCTGAGCGTTCTTATGAAGCGGTTAATGATACCGAGTATGTTATGGTTATGGTCTTCAGTAGTGTAGTGAGTTATGTTATGCTTAATGAGAAATTCTGTGATTTCGTTGCTGAGGTATGCACTGTCTTGGTCTGATGTTAAAGTACTTGGGTTATGTTCTGCTACAAACTTTTGTAAAACTCTTAACACTTCACGAGTTCCTTTATTCCTCATTATATACGCAAAAGCTTTGCGAGTGTTAACATTAATGAAGATGAGGAATGGTTTATGTCCTCCTTTTCTGCTTTGAATGAGAGTGTCAAATTGGTATGCGTCAGGAGTGTTGGAGTAAATTGGTAAAAAGTAGTCGTAAGGATTTATTTTTGTTTGATGTACAACATTTTTGTCAAAGAACCTTTTCACTTCAGCTCTGTTAGTAAATCCCGAACTCTTTGCAGCTTCATTGAATTTCTTAAAAGACCTCCATGGATGTTGTTCGAATACTTCTTTCAAGCTCATTTATGTAAAGTTAAAGATTTTATTCTAGGCTCAAGTGCGTTCATTGAACGCGGTACCATGCAAATACAGTCACAAATGGTGGCATGTAATCTGCACCCGAGCCTGTTGGATTTGTTGTGAAAGTATGGGCATGATTTCCTGCGGTTCCACAGAAAATACCTGCGCTTGAATCTACTGGGTCACTTGAAATATCATATCTATGCATTCCCTGTCTATCCGAACCTGCTGCAAGATTTGTATAACCTCTTTTTGTTATTGAATGTGAATGACTACCTGTTGTGTTTGTAGTTCCTGTATGAGTGTGCGGTGGAAGGTTTGCTTCAGTAATTTTCTTCGAACCTCCTGTTTGCTTTGAAGAGTTAGCACAGTATAAGAATTTGTCTACAATCTGCTGCCATGTACCAAAACCTAAAACTGTTGCTGGATTTGTTGAGTTCATTGACGTATAAATAGAGCCTATAGGATATAATGTTTGAAGTATTTCTGTCTTTAATGTTTGAAGCTCTGTTTTGTCTGCTTTCTTGTCATATAAATCTTGAGCAGTGAATTTAATATTATGTTCATCCTTCATGACATAAACATCTTTACATCTAATGTTTTTCATCGTCGTTATGTCGTCATCCGATGTTAAACCTTGTGGAAAGTTAGGAGGTTTACAATATAATGCATCCCCACCAGTTTCTTCAACCGTTCCTTCAATACTTTCTATACCAACAGTTGTAAAACTTGTATGTGTATGGTTCTTGTCAGCTTTCTTATCTAACATTGCTGGTAGTTCATGTGCTTCAAAGTTTCTGGCATGACTTTCAATGTTCATACATTTGTTATTTAAGGAGTTTAGTGTATCTTTTACGCTTGTACTTGGATTTTCTAATGGTGCACTTGAACCAAGGTCAAAGTTCAATATTATGTCGTCTGCTCTAACAGTAGTGAAGGATTTATGTGTATGGTTCTTGTCGGCTTTACTGTCTAAAGAAGTTTGAAGTTCATTTATATCGGAGATGTTGTGTTTATGAGATTTCAAAACTTTGTTCATTGCTTCGAGTTCATCTTTGTCAGCTTTACTTTTAATAGCATCTTCAAACGTTATTTTTGACTTAACTCTCAAAGTAAATCTTGGTTCAACTAATACACCATTAACATTGAAAGTAGAGGCATAAATTTCACCGGTATAACCAAATGCTTCTGGTGCTTTAGCTACATCATACTGTACAGTACAGCTTATGTCATAACCTTTAGCACGAATGTATTTATATCTTCTTTCATTAACATTTTTTGTCTTCGCTTCATCACTTCGTGTTAAATATCCATGGTAGTCCGTTATAATCTGTTCGTCTGAAGTTATATAATGAACGTGGTTTTTATCTGCTTTTTCGGCTAATTTCTCATTAACATCATTCACTTCTAATTCAACTCTTCCGCCAGAACTCTTATTATCATTAATCTTTTTCATTAATTCGGTAATTACGTCATAAAGACTATATTCTGTTTTCGGTTTTGTAAATAATGAGTCAAAATTTCTTTTTCATCATTACATCGCTGACATTAATGATATCACCAATTCCTTTTTCATTTATTCTCTTCATTAGTTCTGCAATAATGACGAATATATAATCTGTTAATTTATTCTCTTCATCGAGGGTTATAGAATGTTTTGAAATTGAATCATTAACTCCTCTAAATAAATCAATAACTTCAGGATACACGTTTTTAATGTCTTGAATAACCCGACCAGTATCCTCGCCACTATGTGGCTCTGAGCCCGTTGGGCTCTGTTGTTCATGTTCTTCGTTCCCGTCGTTACGTGGTTTTATATCTCTAACCATCATCAACGCAGCCATAACCGGAGGGTTTGTTGCTACCTGTTCGAAAATCCGTCCGTTATGTATGGTATATCTAAATAATTTCTTTGTGTTTGTTAAAACATTTGAAACAAGTCTTTTAAAACCATCTACAAAATTTCCTGTTTCACCTAATGTTCTTGCAGCATTTACAAGCTCACCCATTCCCGCTTTTGACCCCAAAAACGTCCATATTGCATTTATTTCACTCTGTATAGTTGTCCATTCAGCGAAACTAACACCCGCATTCGCTAAGCTGAAAATGAAATTCAGTGGATCGAACTTAATTCCACCTTCTTTTTCAATTTCAACGAACTCACTAACATGAGATTTTAAGTATTCTTTCGTTAAAATTGTTTTCCCCGATGTTATGTCATTAACGAAACTATCACCGTCAAAAGTTAACGAATTCAATTTCGTCGTTGATGCTTTTATTTCATACACCGCTTTATCGATAGTTTTTGGCTCACCTTCTTTAGAAGCATATGAAACATTAATGAATGAATTATATGTATTCGTGAATGAGTTAAAATCAATGATTTTCATTAATGAAGCCTTTAATGATTCATTAACTGTTGAATCCCTTAAAACAATTACTGAACTGTCATGGGCTTCGCCCTGGTCGCTTCGGTCTGAAAGACCTTCAGGACTCAAAGAGTCCGTTTGCGACTTTATGAAAGGTACACTGCAAACCGTCGAGTTTGGATCAAATGCTGTAGTTGGTGCAGGAATATTAATGATATAAGTCATTAAATCATTAAGTGACGTAAATAATGTTGTCGTTTTTGATTTAATTTCTTTAGCATCTGTTATATATGGTAATTTTATTTCTGTAGTTTCTGAATTAAAGATATTCGCTAAAATGTTTTGTAAACTGTTTTGAACAGCAGTATAAACCGTTGAATCCGGAACTCTTACGATTTCACCATCCTTAATAAAAGGCATTGTACATGACGTAGTGCTTGGGTCAAATCTTTCGGGATTATAATTCAACATATATTCTAATGCTTCATATACAGACTTATATACTGTTGTGTCGTTCTTCATGACAACTTCACCATTTACAATGAATGGCATAGTACATGGAGTTAAAATAGGGTCAAACTTTTCATAGTCCTTCCATGTTATGTATTTCTCGGTATTTCCATCACTGATAACAATATATTTGTCAGTAAGTGTGAGAGAGTATTGACCAAAATATAAACGTTTAGCTCTGTCAGCTTCATACGAATATGCAGCTATACTCATATTTTAATGAGAATAAAATGTTGTTCTATTTGCAAAGTACTGACCCAAACGAATACGGAATAGTAAAGCTACAAACAAACTTAGGTCTACAGAATGAAGCGCTTGCTTTCAGAGTTGTTGACTTCAATACTATCGCAACTTTTGTCATAACAGATGAAACAGATTTCATGGAGTTTGAAATAGATGGAAAGAAGCATGAAATAAGATTTCACAATAATGTAGAATATAAGATGGAAACATTAGCTGGAGTGTTAAATGCTCTCATAAATACTACAATAAACAAGGAGAACGAAGAAAACTTAATGAATGTTAAACTTATTGCAGGAGTTTTGAAGTTCAGTTATGCGAAGGAGTTTAAGATACCAAGAATGAGTCATAGAGTTCAATTGCTTCTGGGTGCATACCATATGACATTTCCTTTGAAAAGTATTGACAAAACGATTGAGATGAAATCTGTTCCATACGTATGTTATGGCAATTGTTTATACATTGAGTCTAAAATAGCTAATGTCACAGGTATTTCAGGAGTTAATAGTAAAGGTTCAGTAGAATATAAGTCTTTCTGTTATGAAGTAAATTCAATGTTCATTCCAAACGTTCCTGTCATAGCAACTCATTTAGGTAAATGGGTTCGCATTAGTCCTCATAATTTGAAAGACATGCAATTCAGACTTGTTGACTTTCAGGGCGAGCCTGTAGAACTGAAGGCACCAGTGCGAATGACTGTTGAAGTTGACTTTTTAGAAAATATTAAATGCAACAGCTTACAAGAGAACTCAGAGCTAAAAATATAAAGTATGAATGTTATGTATTAGGTCATGAACTTTGGTTGTTGCTGTTTGATGAAACAAATGAGTTAGTTATGCCAGTCAAGAGAACAGAAAAAGGCGTCAAAGGCGCCGAGCGCAAAGCGCTATATTGTGTTAGTGAAAACTGCACCAAGTCAATAAGATTAGGTTTGCATTATGAAGATGAGTTCAATAGTGTTGAAGAAGTTTTGGATAGATATTACAAATTGCTTTAATTTACTAAAACATATTTCAAACAAAGTTTATATTCTGTTGAAAGTTTTGTATACTCGTTCGAATATTTATACTTAAACTCAACTCCTGTAGTTCCTGGTGTTTCAATGATGCGGATGTTACCTATTTTCATGAATAGTGGAGTTTGACCACAGCATTCGATTTCAGGGTCGAGATAGTCAATGACACATTGTTTCCCTGTTATTCGTGAGATAACATTTTCAAGGTCCTCCTTTGTTAGAATTATTTGGTTCTTGCTTATAAGATTTGTCAAAAGCTTCTTATCGTCTTTGAGTAAAATTGTTTGGTATAACTGAAGAAGGTAATGGTCTACGTTATCTGAAGGATTTGTTTGAACATTTGTGTAAGGGTTGTCGTTGGCTTCTCTTGAAAGAATTTGGTCCAGTGGTGGATACTCTAACTTAACATCTGATGTAGCGTTAGCGTTTGAAGCTGTGTTTAAATTCACGGATTTCAGTCTGGTTCTTCTTTCAAACACTCCGAACTATAGTTCTTTATGACAATATTGTTTGTCGTTCGTGAGTCAACATTTGATGTTGGTTCAATTGGAACATTAACGGCACCAGCTAAGATGGATTTGCTTCTCATTTCATATAGAATAAAAACCTTTTATATGTATGAAATGAACAATATACTCGACAAGGGTTTGAATGTAAAGCTAACGAATGAAAATATTGTTGAATTCACTGAGACAGGTGCAGTGTATAAAGATGTAGAACTACTGAACAAAAGAGCTAAGGGAAGAAGCAGGAATATGAACAAAGGGTGGAAGCCTATAAAAATTTATGTCAATGATGGCTCAGGAGGTTCAAACATAAAGTATGCAGAAAGTTATAGAGTTTATGCTCTCAAAGGTGAAAAGCCTTCATTTAAGAACAGCTATTCTAACGCATATCCTCAAAAGTTAACGGATGGGGAAGTGGATGATATGAATGACAGCAAAAATATTAACAGAAATGGCGACAGAGATGCATGGAATTTGTTTACCATCAGTCAATTGAAGGTTAAACTTTAAAACAATGTTGGTCGTTCCCATGGAATATTTTTGACTTTAATGGTATTAGTCATGATATGAATCTCAAGGTATGAACGAGGAGAGATGAGAGACTTATATGCTTCCCAAATTTCTTCAAAAGGTAATGTTATACCTGACTGTTTCCAAATGAGTTCAATATCATAACGTGAGAAACCTTGAAAGATAACGAAGTCAGTTATGAGACGTTTTATGTTTAAAGCTAAAAACCTCCATGTTTGCATAAGTATTGCTACAGTTAAGTGGTAATGTCTGACTTTAGTAATGATGTTAGCTAATGGTGAGTCTGCTTTGACACTAAACCTTTTCCGCGAAGTCGTCGCAAACGAGCAGAGTGTTTGAAGGATACTTTTTGAAGGGGTATTTTGAAAGTTTTGACAGAATGTAGTTTGTAAGTCGTTTCATATCGTAAACTCCTGAGTATTGACGTAAGTGGTGTTTGTCAATAATTCTTTCCATCTCTCTGAAGTCTTTTGCATTCCTGACTGTATAAATTCAACGATGGCATAATATTTCCTCTTACGTCGAATGTAACGTTGAAGAAATTCAATGAGTTCGCTATCTGGAACTTTAACGACAGAGGCTTGAACTTTTGACATAAATGTTTTCGCTGTTGAGTCCATAGAGTCTGAAGTTGCTGATATAATGATTTGGTCATAGTAAGAGTCGTTTCCTAAACGCTCTGTTATGAGTATATGACGAATGAGGTTAAATGTCTTACCTGACCCCATCTTTCCACAATAGAAATACACACCATTTGAACAGAACTCATAGTCCTTACTGAAAGGAAGAATGAGAGAAGAGTTAAGTTTGTCTGTAGTTTCATTCATGTCTTCATCTACGTCATGTATTAAATGCTTCATTTTATCTCCATTAAAAATGCAAGTCAGAAATATTCAGAACATAGCACCGAGTCTAACTGACAAGAGTATAAAGATATACTATGAACATGTTATGATGAAACCAACCAAAATTCAAGAAAGTCAGTATACTTATGAATATCCAAGACACTGGGTAGAGTATGTAGGAGGTGAGAAAGCTATTGAAATCAAGACAGGTTCGAAGTATTCCAGCAGGAAGAACAATATTATTGAAGAACTTTAATGTTTTGAGGTATAATGATGAACAAAGAAGCAAGATAGTTTTCCTATTGCTGTGTATGTGAACCTAGACACAGGAGATGACATGAAAGTTTTTAATACAAGCTTCAAACGGTAGTGAGAGAAAACTGACTGCGGAAGGACATCCATTACCTTCAGAAGTTACCATAGCATATAATTTTGAAACAAACTCAATAGATTTTAAAGTCGTCTCTGCAAAGAAGTCAGGTTTTACATTTAATGAAGCAGATGTATATTCGAATGAAAACTTCAAAGCTATTGCATGGTTAGATAATGACGATTGCTTTAAGAAAATATTTAAATTCAGTGACTCAACGATGTCAATAGATGACCTTCGTGGAATGTTACCATCGACGTTTACAGTTGAAGGTTCAGCAGGATTGCTTACAAAATTGTCAATTGGTGGTATTTGGTCTCGTGAGAACATTGTTATAAAATCCAGTATAAGTGAATTTGCTGAAGAATCTATATTATGTCTTTCAAACTATATGTATTCGCCGCCGAAGCATTATAGTATAACAAACTTTGTCAGTAAGTTTAATATAAGACTTGTTGAACCTTCTTCAATGAAAGATGTTGTGCTACCCAAAGACGGAAAGGATGGACTCATTATTGAGATGATTTAATAGCATATTAAATGAGCTTGTTTTAAAGGTCATTCATGATGAAATAACTGTTGTAGAAGATGTTAGCAATTGTTCAGACATTTTATTTGAGAATAGATGATTAAGAAAGAAGTTTATGAATGAGAATGTTTATGTTTCATTGACTTTCTCCAGTAACGAGAACTTTTATTGAGATAATATTGAAGAGAGATGATTTTAATATGGTGTAAATGGTAGCTTGGGCAGCTTTAGGCGCAATGGGAACAAAAGCATTAGCATTTGGAGCAAAAGCACTTGGAGCTTATGACGCAGTAAATAAAATGAGTGGAGGAAGAGTTTCGAAGACATTAGATGCAAATAAAGGAAAGATTGGAGGCTGGGTTGCAAAGAAGTTAAGATTAAATAAAATAGGACTCATAAATAAAGCATCCAATTTGGTTGCGACTGAGTCAGAAAATGCTTTAGGAAAGGACGATGAGTTTGCAAAACACGCAAAAGACTTTAATGACCAGATGAAAGGTGAAACAATGCATTTAAATAGAGTCGATGGAACTCTTCCTCCACCAGTAGTTCTTCCGTATGGTCCCTATGGAATGTATGGAAACCCTTACGAAAGACCATTTGACCCATTGACTGGTGGAAGTAATTGGTATCATTACGGACGAAGAAGAAAGACAGTCAAGTTGGAGACAGACGTGAAGAAAGCAACTAAAAAGAAACCAAGGAAGAGAGTTATAAAGTAATGAATTCAAGTGGGTGAAAAAACAGGTGAAAAAAGAGGTGAGATCTCACCTCTTCACCTAAATTTATTTTTGCGCTATGTTTTCATACGTGTGAGGGTGGTGATATCATTAATTTTTAAGTTTACTGAAAATTTTTATTTGGATGTAAATGACAGAACAAAAGCAACTCATACAAATCGAAAAATATAACAAACATACATTTAAACATTTATTCTTCCTTCCTGAGCATAACATGTTCTTTCAAATACATCCGAGACCAGTTGACTTTTCATTGACTGTGTATAAAGATAGAAATAGTTATATCATTAAACCATACGATGACGAAGGTAAGTTATGTAAATTGTACGTTAAGAAGTTAGAGAAAGTTTATGGCTTCAAGTATGACTACAATAGGGTTAACACTGATGATGAAGATATTGAGGAAAATTTATGAGAACATTAGTGAAGTCGTTAGTGAGAACGATAGTGAGAACGTTTATTTTTTACATTAGTGAGTTCGTTAGTGAAGTCATTTATGTGTCAGATGGTTTTGTAAATATTTAAGGTTAAGTTAGTGTTGTCGTTTGTGTTGTAAAATATACGTTAACGGTTTCGTAAAGTGTCAAAACCGCTAAGTGGTGTACGGAGGCGCGCAGTGCCACCATACCCAACATAACCATACTAACTCCTGTTTTGTTTGTTCGTGTAGACAAAGGAAAGTTCTATGTCTTTACAAAATATTTGAACTTCTTAGACAGAGAACTTCAAGAAACGCCATGTGAAAGTTTAGATGAAGTTCTTCTCCACTTTCAGAAAAACTTTTAAATATATGTAAATGGCAGAAGACATAGTGGTTTATACTATTACGACTAAAAACCCTGAGTCATATAATTCTATAACAACAAACTTACAAAGTCCTCAAGGACGATATTGTAAACTGACCTTAAACACGATGACGACTAAAGCCTGTTTTGCTCTTTTGACACCAGAAGACTTTGTTGTTGTGAATGGTAAAAACTTCTTTGAAGATACTTACTCAGATATACCACCAACAGGTTTTGTTGACTTATTTAATACTTTAAGGACGGATGTAACATGTGCTGCAACTAGAGCAGGTTTCATTATGTTTGGATGTCCGACTGAGTTTACTATAAACGATATGAGCTATAATACAAAACTTATATCTGGTTTTTACTACCAACAATTTCCTATAACAGGAAAAGGTGTCATACAAGGTCTATCCGTTCCATTGACTTTAAGTACACCTATTTTATATATTGTTTCAAACTTAGGTTCAAAGTGCTATTCGAATGTCGACAGAAACTACTATGACCAAAAGATACTCATGCGTATAAACAACACATTCTCTGCTGGTTTGCCTATTGTTCATTCGAATGCAGAGTTTTCAGCTTTAGTAAACTCAAACACTTTAGCAAACATAAACTTAACCTTAGTTGACGCAAACTTTGTTCCTGTAAAACTTTTATGTCCGATGTATTTGTCAATGACGGCAGAAAGTTTCGAATTGGAAGATGCAACTGGTGAAAGTATTGTACTACAAGAACAACTTCAACAACAAATAGCTCAAGAACAACAAATGCAACAAATGGAACAAATGCAACAACAAAGTCAAGAATAAAAAAAATATTTTTTTTATTTTTATAAAAATGTACAGAATAGATGTTTCAGATTTTTATGACTTCCAAGCCTTCAGAAATATGTGTCCATTTAGAGACTATAACAAAGCAGTCGAGAATTTGAAACGTTTAGTCATTTATGTCGACTCTGCCCCAGAATGTTATGTTATGAAAGAATGGGATGTAGTCTTTAACAAACCTAAAGCGACAATAGTTTCAGAACAAGAATGTAAACAGAAACTTAAGAAAATAAAAGTCGTACAAGTTGGCATGAAGATGTTAGATGCTTGGGATATCTTATTGTCAAAGCTTGAAGATTTTTCAGTTCGTGGTATAAAGTTCTATACACCATCTCCAAACTTCTATTCTATCTTCACTGGATATAAATACGAACAAGTAGAATGGAAAGAAAATGTTATAGAAGCTTGGTTAGACCATGTCAAAGAAATTATATGCAATGGAAACGAAAGAGTCTATGAGTATATCTTATGTTGGTTTGCAAACATCTTACAACATCCAAGTGCTAAAAATGAAACTGCTCTCATTATAATTGGAAAACAAGGAACTGGTAAGAACACTTTCTTTACAGATATTTTGTGCAAACTGTTAGAGGGCTATTCGAACCCGAATATGACAAACTTAGAAAACATCTGCGGCAAGTTTAACTCTTCAATAGAGAATATGAAACTTATAGTATGTAACGAACTTCAAAGTATAGATACAACAAAAGTTTTGAACTCGGATGCTTTGAAGAGTCTTATAACAGACAAAGTTGGAGTTGTTGAAAGAAAATATAAAGACCAGAGAGTTTGTGAAAATGTTGCAAATTTCATTATGGTTTCAAACAATGCCGTTCCGATGAAGTTAGAAAGTTCTGACAGAAGATATGTAGTTGTCAGAACGTCAGAAGCTCATATGCAAGATACAGAATATTTTGACGACTTAGCAGAAACTTTGACATCTGACTTTTACAACCACTTATTCTCATATTTCATGACATTAGATATTTCAAAGTTCAATCCAAGACAAATTCCACATACCGAAGAGAGACAAACATTGTTAGAAGCAAACAAGAGTGTATATGAACTGTTCATAGATGAAACTGACTTTGAGTGTTTAGATGAAAGGTCATTGTACGATTCGTATAAACAATATTGTCAAGAGTATGGTTATATGACAGCGTCTAAACGAACATTCTTGGCAAATGTCAAAAGTCTTTTAGACGTACAGAATGGTGTATATACAAAGAAAAATTTTTCTGAGTAAATTTTAAAAAAAAATATTTTTTTTATCCGATAGAAAAGATGACGAAATTCATCTCAGTAAACAAGTACATGTCAGGACTTAAAGAAGAACTAGACCCATTCACATATTTGAATGTTTACTTCTACCATTTTGAAAAGTCTACATTTGACAAAGTTTGGAACATCGAACCAGTTAAGTTTGCTATTGTGACTAAAAATGGTGCGAAATTTGAAGACTTAGACATAGAAGGTTTGTTAACAGTCAAAGAAAGTTTTGACAGAAGGTTCTCAAACCTTAAAGAAGGCAAAGCATACAAACTTGTTATACCTTATGAACCAAAGAAAGCAGACGACTATGAATATTATGAGTCTAAGATAGTTGAAGTTCAAGGTAAATTGGGTAAAAAGATTTTAGAGTCTAAGCCAGTGTTTGCTCCTAAAGAGGAAGAGAACATTGACATTGACCCAGAAATGTTCTAAAAATAAAATTTTATTTTTACATGTCATATCTCACCTTCTCTGGAACTGGTTCAGGTTCTTTCTTTTCTCTCTTCTTCTTCTCTGGTGGAGTTATGTCAAACTTCTCAGAACCATATTTTTGTAAAAGTGCTTTGTCATTTAATAGCTCTTCTATTCTGTTTTCTATTTCATTTTCAAGAACAGCGCATGTGTCTTCTTTGCATTCTAAGAAGTTTTGTTGGACTTCATCTCTCCAAGAGGCGTCATCTCTGTCAACAAGTCTGTCATTGACAAATTTTAAGACTGCTCTGCTTAATGTTTTATGGTTCTTGTCATATTCCCAGAAACAGAACTTTAGAACAAATTCCCCTTTCTTGTTTACACTATGTAAGATTTTATGGTCGACAGATGTTTTGCTGTCGAAAAGCTTGTCTCGAATATAGATAGCGAAATCGCTAGACATTTTCTAAAAGATAAAAATTTTAATTTTTCTAAAAATATGTTAGAAAAAAAGTTTGCTGACATTGACAAGAAATTTGAGAATGTTTTAAACAAGAACAAGAGGAAGTTAGAAAATGCTCAGATAAAACCCATACATGACAAGTTCTTATTTGCTCAGAATGGTATAACAGGTCTAATCGCACCGCCTGGGTCGGGTAAGACTTTCACTTATCTTAAAATGGCTGCACAACAACAAGAACTAGATGAGAAGAACCCATTCTATGAGTTAGTAGTCATTTGTTCGACTTCTGGTCAATTTGACCAAACCGTCAATTCGTTCAAAGATATTATAAAGAAGTCTAAGTTAGTATGTATAAAAGACTCTGAGTTGTTGGATTGGATAAAGAAGTACCAAAGAAGAGTTTTGAAGTACAATGCTATAAATGAGTATATAAACTCGAAGTTTAAAGACCCAAATGAGGAGATGCAGAGAATATTAGAGAAGAAACACTTCAGAAACAGACAGAAAGAGATAGAATACATTTCGAAGAAATTGCAATCTTACGATTGGAAGACTTACCCTCACAGATGTCTTCTTATCTTAGATGACTTTGCTTCTCATCCTTTGTTAAAGAATAGAGAACAAGACATGTGTCGAATTCTTAAGAAGCTCAGACACTTTAACATCTCAGTTGTCATTTGTGTACAGACAGCAAAGAGTTTAAGTAAGGATGTAAAGAGAATACTTACTGATATTATACTTTTCCCCGGATTGTCCGAAGACGATTTCATGGAACTTATGAAAGAGTCCATGGCAGGTAAGTTTGACAGACATGAACTATGGGAGAAGTACAAAGTCATACAAGACCCTCATACTTCTTTCAGAATTCATATCTACGCAAACAAAGTTCAAATTGTAAAAAGTCAAGCGTAAAAATGTAAGTGTTATAGTCTTAGTCTGTTGTGGTGCTGGGGCTGTCGGTTCTTCTGGCTTTGGAAGACATTCAGGAAGAGGAACGTCAGCCATCCGTTTGTGTCCTGTCGGAAGGAAGGACTTTTCCTGTCGGAAAGAAAAATTTTTCCTGTCGGAAGGAAAAACTTTTCCTGTTGGAAGGAAAAACTTTTTCTGAAGTTCGACCAAAAAGTTCTCAATTTTCGAAAATTTGAATGGTTTACGGACGGACAACTGGAAAAATTTTTCCTGTCGGAAAGAAAAATTTTTCCTGTCGGAAGGAAAATTTTTTCCTGTAGGAAGGAAAATTTTTTCCTGTAGGAAGGAAAATTTTTTCCTGTAGGAAGGAAAAACTTTTCCTGTTGGAAGGAAATTTTTTTCCTGTTGGAAGGAAGGACTCGGAATGCCAGAAGGATTTGACAAGACAATTTACCTTATAGAGCTACCTGAGCCATCTTTGGTGTCAAGCTTGAAAAATAAATGGTTCATTTACTCTGCTTGTTTGAAGTTGTCAAAATACTCTGTTATCTTTTCTTTCAGTAATGGCAAATCTTCTTTGAATGTAAGTATTGTACAACCTTTCATATCATAGTGTGTTTGAGGTAACGTATCTTGAACTATCTGTTTAACATCTTCATTCGGTGTCATTGAAATCGGTAAGTTTTCGCGATAGAACCAATTTCTGTCAGATTTGTAAATCTTAGCAAGGTCGTAAAAGCTTTTGTTGTTTCTTCTGACTAAATGCAACATAACCATATCTCTGTCTTCTTCATTTTCCATCTCTTCAGTGTAAATCATATACTTATAGTTCTTTTCCTTTCCTTTTGGTACCGAACGTGGTATTCTTTTCTGTATGGTTTTGTCTTTTGCTTCAAGCTTGTTCTCTAGCTCTTCACGTTCTTGTCTATGAATTTCATCTAACATCATGAAAATATACCAAGCATAACGAGGTGAAGCCCACATTGCAACAGCATTTACAAGAAGTCTATGTACATACCAACCTCTCAAACCATTTGGCAAATTTTTACGATTTTCATAGAGTTTTGGCGACCCCGGTTTTTTACCTACTCGCTGTGCTTCGCTCAAAAGTTCTTTTGTCTGTTGGTTTTTGAACCAATCGTCTGTATGTTTGGTATCTGGAGCAAAACATGCTGTCAAAATACTTTGCATTTGGTACATGTCATCTTTGACCGAACGAATGAGACGTAACTGTTTGTTATACTGAACCCACTCGTATTCTTCATCTATATCTTCATGAACGATAGCAGTTGTTGTGTTCTCTGTTGTTGACATTACTGTCTTTACATACAAAATAAAAAAATAAAATAAAATAAAATTAGCGTTATTTTCTATCTTGTATAAAAGACCAAAAATAAACGCTTTACATGTATTTTTCAGCAACTTCGTCAAATACTTTTATAGCTTTGTCGATCTCATCTACTTCAAACGTTTCTTTACCTTTCGTGGGAGCACCATACATCTTCTCAAACTTTTCAAGTAGTTCTGTTTCAGCAGCTCTCATATCGTTAACAAACGCAACCTTAACTCTATTGACTATACTGTCATATCTTTGAGTTATATTAAATGTTCTTCCTATCTTATATCTCTTTGTATTGAAGTCCTTCGGTTTCTGAACGATGTAAAGTAAGCCTTCACTGCAACGTTCAGTATCGAATGAACCATATGTTATGAAATTATATCCAACAACCGGGTCAATCCAGAACAAAACTACTGGTATAAGACTTTTGTCTATAAGATATGCTCTTGTTCCATAGAATCTTACCGATATCATAAGCTCAGGATTTTTTGTCAAAATTTTCTGAGTAGAAGCATTTCTAACCAGTCGTGGGATGTTTTCTTTTCAGATAGTGTTAAAATGTCTGACAAAGAATATTTTTTGTATTTCTTTGAGTATCTATTACTTTTAAATCACCTATTCTAAATATTTTTGGTCTCATTGTCTATCTTTTTAACTGTTTAAACCAGTGTTTAACATTTGCTGTTTTACATACAAAAAAAAAAAATATTTTAAAAAAACTAACGTTAATTTTATTTTTTCTATCTTGTATAAAGATATGATTTCATAGAGTTTTTTCACTGTTTTCATAGAGTTTTTTCACTGTTTTCATAGAGTTTTGGCGACTACGGTTTTTTCCGTACTCGCAATTTTTTACGATTTTCATGTGTTTTTTTACGATTTTCATGAGTTTTAGGCGACCCCGGGAAAAATCGGGGTCGCAATTTTTCACGATTTTCATGAGTTTTTTCACTGTTTTCATGAGTTTTAGGCGTTCCTCGGTTTTCCGCGGGTCGCATTTTTTCACGATTTTCATGAGTTTTTTTTACGATTTTCGAATGGAATCTCTACCCTCGGTTTTCTACCGGTCGCAAACATATGAGGAAATTCATGAAATTTGGTCATTTTACTCAGAATTCAATAAAATATATTTTAGGCGACCAGGTCACTCGGTCACTCGGTTAAATGAACTTCTCTGAAAAAGTGTGACAACATGACATTTTGACAACAACACAGGAAATAGACTTCATCGTATATGTTTTTTCACGATTTCATCGTAAATGAGCGTAAATCAGACAAAAATATATTTTAGGTGAAGTGGCTCAACCTCAAAACAAGCATTTTGTGAAGAATATACCAACCCGCGGAATTCCGGCGTTGCTTTTATACAAAGTTCAACAGGTGAAAGAATACGATGAAGTTAAGATTTCATCGTAAATGAGCGTAAATCAGACAAAAATATATTTTAGGTGAAGTGGCTCAACCTCAAAACAAGCAATTTTTGAAGATATTACCAACCGCGGAATTCCGCGGTTGCTTTTTTATACAAAATTCAAGAGTTTTGGTTTAAAATACGTGGAGCCAAAAATGGCTCGACCTCAAAAACAAGCATTTTGTGAAGAATATACCAACCGCCGGAATTCGGCGGTTGCTTTTTTTTATACAAAATTCAAGAGTTTTGTGTGTTTTCTACGAGGTAGAAATGAGGGTAAAATGAGGGTAATCTAGCCATCTACCCTAAAATATATTTTTGTCGAAAAAAATGGTTCATTTACTCACAATATTTTTGTACAAAACAACCCCAAGCTTTTAACTTCTTTTCTGCAGCTTCTAATGCTATTTAGCGAGTTCATATTCTCTAAATTTCTCTTTAAATCTTCTGTTCCATTGGTCTAGTTCGTATGGAGAATCTCTATAACCAGAACATATCTCACGTTCATGTTCTATTTGTTTTTCATGCATTTTTCTAACTTTCTTCGAACAAAGGTTTTGCATTCTCTACTGTATCTTCAAGTTCTTCTTCATCTAATTTCTCATGAACTTTCTTGTCTATGGAGTCCATAATTTTTCCAACTGCTATACAATATTTTGGAGAAGCCCACATTGCTATATAGTTTACAAGTCTTGGGTCTACATACGTTCCTCTAACCTGTTTGATTTCATCAGGAATTCCTGCATGAACTTTGTATAAAAAGCGCCGGAATTCCGGCGTTGGTATATTCTTCACAAAAATGCCTCAAAATACTCTTCCCAGGACTTATTTTCCAACAACTTTCTAAAGTCTTTCCTAAACTGCTGACACATATTTGTTACATTTATATAACATCCTTGTCTCTACGTAAGACTTCAATACCGTTGTAAGTGCCTTTGTGAATGTTTCGCCATTAGATTTGTTCGTGAACGTTTTGCTTCGACTGTCATACTGTTCTTACAATAAAAATAAAAAAATATTTTTTGGTGGTACGTCGGACATTCGTTTGTGGCTTAACCGTCGGATATTCGTTTGTGGCTTAACCGTCGGACATTCGTTTGTGGCTTAACCGTCGGACATTCGTTTGTGGCTTAACCTCAAAACAAGCATTTTGTGAAGAATATACCAACCCGCGGAATTCCGCGGGTTGCTTTTTTATACAAAATTCAACGGGTGAAAGAATACGATGAAGTCTATTTCCTGTGTTGTTGTCAAAATGTCATGTTGTCACCATTTTCAAAAAGATGTTAGTTGACCGAGTGACCGAGTGACCGAGTGACCTGGTTCCACCAAAAATATATTTTTCAATACTTTTTCAGCACTTTTCCGTAGTTGTATATGAAAGACAATTCGAGATAAAAGTCATAGTACAATGGTATTATATGCTGCACACCGTTTGTAGTGAACCAAACTTGAAAGTCAGAGAAACTGTTACTAGGTGGTTCGTAGAATTTAGAAGCAAAGTCATAAAAGTCCTTACCCATACAAAGAAAACTGTTGTTGCTTGAACTGAAACTTGCATGACATATAACATTTTGAGGGTCAAACACGTTTCTATAAACTGTCAAATCTGCTGGTGGAAGTATAAATTTAAAAGGACCGTCAGGTGGCAATGGTTCGTTCTGGTTTAGTAACCGAAGAAATTGTGCCCAAGAGTTTGTCTACTCCCAATATAAAAACTCTGTATCTCTTGGAGGGTTATTTTCAATCCTTTGAAATGAAACTGTGGAATTCATCTTATCGTATTCTAGTTTCAGATAGTAAGTTCCGTTTAGTAAAGAGTGGTATTTTTCTTGAAATTCCCAGTAGTATTTGTTTATTTGAGTTTGAAAGTCATTTAGAGTCTTCTCAAGACTTTCGTCTGAGCGAATTGTAAAGATTTTCATTTCGTCAAATTTTTCTATTAGACCATCAGAGCCTTTATACTGACCATGAAAATATACTGCGAACATAAACGCGTTAGTTCTATTTGAAAACAAAACTCTTCTAAATCCTATTGCCTTTGCATCTGAAGGACTTTGAAGCCAACGAATTGGATAGTCAAACCTGTAGGAGCCGGATGAAATTTCTTCATCTGATATATTCCTACCGGCATTTGTAAAGATATAGTCTAACGGTTTTGTATCTGCTACTTTTGTTCTTTGTTTTTCAACCTGAAGCATTTAATATATGTAAAAATATACTGTTTTAAAAACGTTTTTACTTCATGCAATGTTTTACTATTTCATGCAATGTTTTATTTCTGTCCCGTCTTCAAGCACACCCCAGTACTTGCGTTTGGAGAGAACATGAACTTCGGAAAATACCTTATCTAGCTTAAAAAAGCCCATCTTCTCACCGACCATACCCATTTCAATGAGTTTGTTATAGCCTTCTTCGTTCGTCATGAGTGCGTCTATGTTCTCGTAGTAAACCTTCACTTTGGATTTGACTTCGGAGAAGAATTTGTTGTAGTTGTCAAGGACTGCTTTTGCGAACTGAGGGTAAGACCAATGTTCGACAATAGGTTTTAATGTGGTTACTAAGCCACTTTGACCTTGAGTGAATTCGTACTTCAAAACAAAAGGAGAGAACCTTTCAACAAAGTTGTCGACCTTCTCATAGTGTTTACTCTTCATCGCTTGAGGTTTTTTAATGGAATATCCCCATGTCGAATTCATAAGTAATTTCAATGTCATTGCAAGTTTTGAGTTTGAAGCTTTCCTAATATCATAGAGTTGTTGCATGACTTTTCCAACCGTATAGTTCCTTCCCGGGAACTCACCGTCTTCGTTTGGAATTCCAGTCGGAATATATTGGACAAACCTCATGTACGCAGCGTTAAGGTCGACATAGTATATTTTTTCATATGAGTCAAACTTGTCGCAACCTATGGGTCCGGTTCGTGGAAATTCAAGTGAGTCTCTTATCTTCTGAGAAACCTCTCCTGTTATCTCATAGACATCGTCGAAGCAGCCCGTTTCATATAAAACCTTCTGACCTAACTCAGAAGCTCTCCAATACAATTTTACGTCGATCGGATGTCTCAATGGAAGTTTGTTTATAGCATCTTGAAGTTCTTGCAACCTCATTGGAAGTTCTTCTGGTTCAGGTTGGTATCCGAACAATCCAACTCCTTTTGGAACAGTGTACTTCTTTTGTGCTATAACTTTGTCT